GGGAAACAGCAGGCGGCGGCGACGGCGCGAGGAAGGGAGCGCTGCGCGACGTAGCTTCCCCTCTCCTTCAACCAGTGGCCAGCCGGTGCCCGAACTCCTGCCCAGCCCCGGGGTCGGAGAAGACGAGCGTGGCGGGCCTCGAGATGCTCCGAGGCATGTCCCAGGAAGCGGATCCCGGAGGGCGAGGGTTCCTCCTTCTCCACTGATCGGCACTTGCTGCCAAAGTGCAGGAAAATGGGCTTTGAGAACGCCACGGAGAAGCGCTGGGGGATGGCTGGTAAGTTTCACCCTGGGAGAGCGGGCGCCTCGCCTGCCTAGGGAATGTGACGGCCGCCCGGCTCTTCCTTCCTAAGGGGCCAAGGGCTCCATTCACCCGCGGGCAGTCATCCGGCGGGCAAGAAGAGAGAAATCCGCGCGAGTCCAACCTCGGCTGACCTCCTGCCTTCTTTGAGCTGTGGGAACCTCGGGAGCCTCGAAGGGGTCCATCAGCGACCTCTGCTCCAAACCGAGGACCAAAGCTATTCCGGGTATTACTTAGGAGAGCCCGGAGACCAGGGGCCAGGAGCTGTCACGTGGCGTAGAGGTGATGACCTCCAAAAGGCAAGCAACTACGAGGTTTGCGGGGCTTCAGGTCGTGGCGAAGGGCAATCAGTAGTAAATGAGGGTTTTTTTGTGCGGAGGGAAGAGAAAGCTGCGCTCCTTTCTTTTCAACTTTCCTAGGTTCCGTTGCCCGTAATATCTTCTGGCCCCCCTTTTCGCTTTATTCTTTCTCTCTGATCTTCAAGCTCGCGTGTGTGACAAGCAAAAAGAAAGGGGCATATTTCCCCACATCTGGTGACTTCCAGATGTGTTGAATGACAACTCTTATGGCTCCCGGTTAGCTTGGATGTTGACACTAGTCAGAGAGGGCTGATATACGAATATAAATAAAACTGATGAAGATTGATAAGTCTCACAATAGAAGTAGCAGATCTTTGAAGAAGAGGAATAGGGAACAACCAACCAGGGTAATTGCGAGTTGCCACCAGACTTCCCTTCGCTCACCCAGTGTGTGTGTGTGTGTGTGAGAGAGAGAGGGGGTGTAGCAGTGGGAGAGAGATAGGAGAGACTGATGTGTATGACTGGACCTTTGCTAGAGCTGAGTTTTGGGTTTGCTCAGCAGTGGATACTGCAATCCGAACCAAGGGGACAGATACCTCAAAGGTTGGTTTGAATAAGGGTCATTGGCATTCTTCATTGTCAGAACTTAGTCCCGTGAAGCAATAAAATGGTTCGGTCTGCAATGAGAGATATTATCTCTGCATTTCTTTTATGATTGGACAATGATAGCTTGTGCACACACCCCCCCCCCCCCCATTTGAAAGAGAGTGTGTTTGCCTGGTTGGCTTGAGTTTGAAATAATTACAGGGATCAGCTCCCCTCCCCTGCAGTCATGGGGCAGTTCTGCTGTTTTTCTTCTACTCATCTCCCTTCTTCGTGGTTATATTCTTTTGTATTTTCCCAAATTCATGGAAAAGAGAGAAAATAATTTGGAAAAGTCTCTTATTGGGAAAGCAAACTTCTGACAACTTACCTATCTGAAAATTAGAGAATTTAATGCTGGGTCCCTTGATTGAGTTGCCATTTTCACATTTAGGATTATGTAAATATGGATTATCCCTTTGAATAAATCAGTGCTCATTAGGAAAAACTTGGCAACTCTGGTGGATCTCAAAAAGCTAAGCAAGGTCAGACCTAATCAGTACTTGGATGAGAGACCACTAGGAAATACTTGGGCTACAAGTTAAATTGGGATTTTTTTTTTTTAATCTCAAAAGTCCTTGCATACTGTTGCCAAGAAAATTGCCTAGATGTGTCTATGAAGTAAGCAGGACTGAGTTTGACTCAATGGAGTAATTACTTTAACTAGGAGAGTAAAAGTTGCTTTTTCATTTCTCTTCTACTGTGGACATTTAGGGGTGGGGAGCTTTGCTCCCTATGGCCCACTAAAAAAGGCACCGATAAGAGTGATTAGTATATTAGCATTTAATGAGTAATACACAATGGAGTTCACTGTAGGTCACATTGCAGTCTGGATACTTCTAGTCATTGATCTTACTCATTATTTAATCACTTTTAAATATTAACAATGTGACTGCATATAAGATGGGCTTCTATCCAATATTAGTAAATGTGACTACAAACCCGAGTAGAAATTAGGTTTATTTGTTTTTGTCAATTTAAGAACACTCTTGCAGACCTTCTACTCCACAGTGTTTAAGGTATAATTTTCAGCAGTAGAAGGTTAGCCTTGTGGATTAACTACATGAGGGAGGCAGGAGAGAGGCAAAGGTTTCATAAGATGGACATTTGCAAAGCTATTTCAGACTAAGGTCAAATAATGGTCTGCAACATGGCATATTGTACTTTGTTCCAAGCACTGTAGTTTTGATGGCAAAAAAGGGGTCGCGTGTGGGTGTGCTTGCACCTACATGCGTGTTTGTATGAATAGTTGTGCCTATTGAAGTACTGTACATATAGTGGGGAAGGCTGGTTGGGACGGAACTTTAGATCTATTTCATGATAAACTCGTATTTAAAAATCAGAGGCAGAGTAATTGATAAGTTATTAAAAAGCACTTTCTGTGCAAAGATATTTGGATGTGCAAGGATATTTGGAGGGGAAGGAAGCTAATAGTGTCCTCTAGCATCTTGCATTTCAAAACTAAAAAGTTGGCTCCACAAACTCACCAGAATAGGATATAAATTATAAGATTTTCAGTACATTTTGGTGCACACTGTTTGAGTAAAAGTCAGTACTATTGCATTCCATGAAGCTTACTCCCAGGTAAATAGATACAAGACTATAGTCTGAAAATCACAAAATGTGGATTATTTCCTCTCTTGCTAAATACTTTCTTTTATTGTTGCTGGTCTTTACTTCCAAGGCATCTAGTTGCAAGTTCCTTTTCTCTGATGACCCACATTTGAACTATACCCATTTATTTATATATATATTTTAATAACGATGGCATTGTCCAGAAGCCTTCACTCCCTTCCCACTGAAGGATGTAAAATGATTCAAAGTAGCCCTGGATAGCATAGACAACATGACGTCCTAAAGATGACAGGCTTCTCATTGCTGTGAACATATTTGAACAATGGTTTGATTTGTGTTCTACTACTCAAATTCTTCATTTCTATGGCATTCCATTATAAAGGTGTAGAATTTAGTGACATGATAGTAAATGCCTCTTGGCATCTCAGCAGCCTCTGCCAACTTTCCTCTGCCAAAGAAATGTTGCTTTGTAGTAACAAACTGTCTCCATTTCAAGGTTACTCTCTGATCATCTATCCACAGAAGTCTGTGATGATGCTAGTGATGGCATGTCAATTTTACCCAATTTCCTGCCCCCAGATGTGTTGGATTACATCATTCACAGATGGTATGACCAATGAATAGCCAAAGTAGCCAAGGGGGTTATTTGTTGTTAGCTTTTCTTGTTGGAATGGCATGATAGGAAGCCTTTTATTATAGTTGTTCTTTTGGACAAGAATAGTGGTCATAAAATTATTTAAACAAACTTTAAGAACAACTACAGGGCATCTAGTTGGGGAAAGGTGATCTTTGTAGAGTCGGCTGGTGGAAGTAGAAATCCTGATTAAGTTAGACCTGATAAAGTTAATTAGATCACTTCCATACAAATAAAAAAGCATAAAGTAAAAAATCTGGTGTCTCTTCCCACCCCACATATATTTGTGCTAAACACACACACACCCCACACATATACACATACATATATACACACACACATTCTTATTAAACAAATGCCATATGCATGCAAAAATAAGTGTCCATATGATGTTGATCTAGGAGATATTTATGTGCAGTTGGGCTAATTAAAGATAAATGGAACCTTGATTTACCAAAAATAACCTGGATTTGAGGATGTGTCAGATAACTTTTCTTTTTCATGTTGCTACATTTGAAGTTAAAATGTATAAGCTTTCATTAATAGATTTACAAGGCTAAAACTGATACCTTTCGTAAGTGAATATTGAGTCAGAGTGTATGTGTGTGTATGTGTGTGTGTATACCAACACACACACATACATACTTGATTTAGCAAATGCAATCTGATTTTAAAAATTAACATGTTGGTTTTCAACATATGCTACAACCAAAAACATTACGTTATTCAGTTATGTTTGGTTAGTTCTAAAGTAATCCTAGCTAACAGGACTTGGCACAGACAGACAATATCTACACTATTTTCATGTTGGTTATATACTAGTTTAGCTGTCATGGCTTTCCATAAACATCTGGGACTTGTAACTAGATACGGTTATTGAGAAGCTTCTATAAATCTATGTTTATTACTCCAGTCTAATTTTTTTGTGAATATTACATAGCCCCCTCTCTAAACAAGTGGTAAATATAAATTCTGGGTTTACTTGAATGCTCCTAGTATTAACAAAAGTCCTATTGATAAAGAAAGCAATTCTAGTTTCAGTTTGGCAACAGCGGCCCATATTCTATAAAGGTGCTAGACAACAAATTACAAGGTACAGATCCATTGACAAATGTTGTGCCTTAATTCTAGGTAGAATCAAATAGAATAAAAGAGCTGGCACACCTCATGCCAGTAACAGAATGGGATCCACTATTTTTATAAGAAAAGGCAAAGAAAAAGAAAGATGGAGTAAAGCACATGTTCAACTGCTGCTTTAGGAGATAATTATCCAAGTGTTTGAACTTAAACATATCTATTCTCAGGGCCCACCAGACATACCATCTGTGCTCCTACCAAATCAATTCTGGCCCACAAGATCACATGTCATTGGCTGCTGTCGGTTAGTAGAGCAAACTAAGTTCTGTGTTGCAGAAAGAATAGTTCTATTCCCACCACACATTTAAGCCAGTCAGTCACAAATGCAGTCACATCTCCTATTGGTGATTCTGCCAATACACAATCACAGTGACAGGGTCAAGAATCACAAGTCTGGGAACAGCCTCCACCTGTTCTCTCCAGGAAGTATCTATTACCTTAACACCAAGAGAATTCTGGTAAAACTGCATGACATCACAAGAGCTTTTCCCATTGACCAGGCAGATCACTGCAGCCAATAAACATTTGGGGGGCCTCCACACTCTAAACTTTTCACAAATTGACTATAAGAGAATATAATGTTTTAAAAAAGTCTTCCCCAGTCTGGAAGAGATGGACAACAACTCCCATTATCTCCAGCTGGCATGGCTCTGATGAGAGTTGTAGTTCAGCATATTTTAAAATGTCAG